AGAAGGTCAATGTAGAGATTCACGGATTCTTTGAAGATCCTCCAGGTCCATTGGATGTGGCGACGATTAGAGCTTGGTCTACACGCCTACCGCTTCGAGACTTTTTGAGAAAGGGACCAGAGGAGTGTCTGGCTGAAAGGCTGAATGAGGTCGAGACAGTTGATGAAGGGAGGTTCTTGAGGAATCGAGGGAAAACAACGATGCTGCCGACTGAGAAACTTGCTGACGAAGCACACAACAATCCCCTTGGGATCTCGCAAGGATCTGTCGAGTCTCCCCCTGCATCCCCTATCATACGGCCTGTTGATGCAGAAAAGACAAGATCAGAGTCAGCACCTACAGGAGTAAGATCCCCTGCCACACCTTTATCACCCGCGGCTATTTCACCACCCACGCACTACTCAACACCAATGCGACGTCCATCGCCGCTTATTCGTGCCAATTTTGAGCAGGATTTGGCTGTAGATCGTCTATCACCTCCTCCTCGAGGAAGAATGGGGCGATCTCTGAGTAGGTCTGTCAGCATGGGAACTCAAGCCTCACAATACGAGTACAAAGATTTTCCTCCATTCTCACAGCGAAGTCGAAGCACAATCGAGGGCTTCAGTGATGATGACGATATTGATGCATCTCCGAAGCTTCCAGAAGCTATCGTTGCTATCCGAAAGGCCGCGAAAAATGGTGAGAGAAGAGCCAGTGAGACGGTAATCGTGGATGAAGTGCCTGTTGCGTTTTCGAAACCTCAGATTGAAACTCGCAAGTTTATGTGGGTTCATCTGCCATACAACAATCCTAGCTGGGTGACGGTAAGAATCCCAAAGACAGTTCATTGATGATGCCTGACCTGGGTAGAAAATGTTCGAGACTCTGCAGACAGCAAACAATCGCAACTATGCCCCCCTGTTTAACAATGACTTCTGGGCGACAAGGCATTCTCGAGGGCGACACTCTCAACACTATGCGTATTTTGCGAAACCAGGCTGTTACTTTTCAGCTCCTCGGCACAGTAAGTTGAGTCCTACCATGAAATCCAAGCTAACTGTGTAGTGTCACCTCGAGGTCGATCTTCGAAGCAGTCATCGATATCGCCCAAACCAGAGGGTGGAATCTATACTTGTCTCTTCCTCCCATATCTTCATTTTGACTCGTACAAACGACTCATTCGCCGACGAGAACTCATCCTTCAGCGTCTCGGCCATGGACGAGCCAGACCTGTTCCCGAAACTGTGGCAAAGTCTGATTCTCTTGAATCGCAGGTGATCTGGGAGTTTGTGGGCCACGATCCACCGGTCAACTGTCGTCGAACACTTGATCAATACGGATATCCATCGTTGAGGGACACTCGGTCGCGAGATGATGATCAGATGCTGTATAAACTGACAAAGGAACGGACATTTGCTCCCGGTTTGGGCCCAGGACTTCATGGACAAATGTCGAACAGCAGTTCCGGAAGCAGCGGAAGTGGTAGTCGACGATCCAAGACAAGTAGCCAGGATGGGGAAGACGAGGAGGGTTGCGAGGACTCTATACTCAACGGGAATGTTCTCATGGTGGATCAGCTGTGGCTTTGGGCCATAGACTCTCGTAAGTCATATGTCTCTGTACGGAGCTTAGCTGACCTTTAGATACCCTACTCTCCTTCTTCCCGAAGCGAGAGGGTGATGCTATTGAAGGGCCTCTGTATCAGCAGGCAGACCTTCGAGACAGCATCTTTAACGAAGTCAACGTCGATCTCACCCGGCAATGCGAAAATGCTCTGGACCTGGCAGCATTAGCAGTCCTCCATGCTGTTACTGTCCTCCTCGACAGATCCTCCCATCCAGACCTAGAAGTGTTTCGAATCTTTGAAGAAGCCATCAGCGTTCTGGTATGTCACTGCATGTGATTAATCACGCTGCCATCTCATTCATAAACCTGGCTAACCTTTAGACCGAAAAACTCACCTCCTCGCTCAAAACATTTCGCGCCGAGGGATTCCGTGACAAAGCGTCAGCCTACGAGCCAGTTGAGAACAAAGCTCGTTCCATCAGAGCGCGCCATAAAGCCGAGGGCCGTCGAGCAGAAGAGGATAACCGGGACAATACATCTGCCCTCCTTGAGCTTCGAGATATCGAAGATGAACTTTTGATTCTGGTTCATCTGTTTGAACGTCAGTCTAAAGTCGTCAGCTCTATGCTCTCCACTTATACTCGCCCGGAACTTCGTGACCGCACCGCAAACGGAAGACTGTTCCTGAGTGAAGCAATCAAAAAGGTCTCGGAGTATACGCACCAAGCTCAAGAGATGATTCAGAGAGTCCGGAGCACGAGAAATGACTACGACAAACTTCTTCAGATGGTCCAGCGACAGGCGCAGGTTGACGAGGTACGGCTGAGTAGGCTTCATGCCGACCTTGCAAGTGCACAAAGTCGTAGTGTCATGATCTTTACCACATTCACAGTCATCTTCCTCCCGTTGACCTTCTTTACTGGTCTCTTTGGTATGAACACTCAAGAATGGGGTGGTGAGAATAATCTGTCGCTCAAGACCATCGGGACAATCTCGTTGCCTGCAAGTTTTGCCCTAGTGGTCTTTTCTCTCGTGGCAGCTTTTAGCACAAATGCCCGACTTCTGATCAAATGGCTTGTCCATGTGTACCGACACATGATGTCCTGGGTGTGGAGAACACTGTGTAAGCCTGCTGTTGCAAAGGTGACTGATATGCTGCCACAACGAAATGAGCGGCAGAGGGAGGAGAGAGACTCGAGAAGTGGGAAGAGAGTTTTGAGAGAGGAGATGAGTGACTTTTGGGAAAGACATAGATTAGAGAGGGACAGAGGATACACTGTTCCAGAGAAGAATAAGAGGACGGTAGTGAGTGGTAAGAGTAGTTGGAGGAAGATGAAGTAGTACCCTGTTGCAGTACTGAATGCAGCTTTCGCTCGTTTCTCCTATAGAATCTGGAACTGTTTTCTAATTAGTTGCTGAATATGCTCGTTAGAAAGGCTGGGATGTTAACATCCATAGATCCGACAGGGATGCCCCAGTCTCACTAGAGCTGCACATCATCCGGGAGCTAATCAGCCGTCAAGACAGGGTAACTCACAGATCCTGGTCAGCGCATCATTGCCTCATGATTGACGAATAGTCAATGTTGATTCATTCAAAGAAAAAGCAAAGCGACCACCCACCCGGACTTTCCCGCGAATTCTGTTTCAGATGAGATTTGAGTATGGGGATGATGAGCTGGCAGCCTGTAGAAGGGTATATAATGCCGCAGTTGTCAGTTGAGCTGGAGAGGTTCTCAGTCTCCCTGACTTTTGCCTGTTAAAGATCAGTTTGAAGAATACTTCTTTCCACTTACATCCGTGTCAACATGACCGACTCCCCTCGCTATGCAATGGGCACAAAGTCCTCTCAACGACGAACCAGTCCCATTCGTAAGGGACAACCAGAACGTCCCAGTACTCCAACTCGTCGACCAACGACGCCTACACTCGGTCGCCGTCCCACAACTCCAACTCTGGGCCGCCGGGGCTCCAATGCTTCTCTTCGTCATCAGGGTTCGAATGCAACTCTCAACCGTCCTGTCACTCCCACAGCAACGGAGATACCGGATGGCGACCCTGTGAAGCTCGGCTGGGTGACCACTCCAAGAACTGGCCCAGCGCCAGGAAGCCCAGAAACTCCAGCACGCATCTTACCTGCTATCCCCGAGAGTCCTCTTGTCATGCCTTCGCCTCGTTCCCGGCAAGTCTCTCGTGCTGGGATCACGCCTCGCTCTCGACAGGTTTCGACCACCGATCCGGCTCCTCGTTCACGTCAGGTCTCGCAGACTCTACCGGCTCCAGAAGTTGATGTTACTCCCGAGGTCGCCAGAGCGCCCGGGCTTGAAGTTGCTCCGGTCGTTGTCAATGCTCCTCTTGTCAGAACGACGCCGAGTGTAGGTCGTGTACCCAAAGTTCGATCGACTCCCAAGGTCGCACTTGTTCCAAATGTTCGATCTTTGGTAGGCAGCGCTATCATCCCGTCAACTTCAAGACCTCCTCGAATTGCAAGGACCCCGGCGGTGGCATCTCCTCCCGTTGTCGCCTCTGCGCCTTTCATCGTGACGATTTCTGCGGCCCGGGTTGTTCCTGGCGTTGCTCCTGGACCCTTAGCTGCTCCCATTCCACTGTCGGCACCTCTGCCAGTTATTGCACTGGTGCCTATCATCGCTAGGGCTCTGGCCACTGCTCTCGTGCCACGTGTTTCTGGTACCCCCAAGGTTGCTCGATTGCCTTTGACTCAAGAAGCTCCCAGGTCGACGCTAGCTTCAAGGTCAGGAAGAGCTCCGAAGGCTTTACCGCCGCCTCCCACTAGACTCCTCCTTGGTCAGGCATAAAATGGATTTTGACAAACTGGAGTTCTGCAGGGCATGCCAGTTGATCGGTTCGGAAAGCTGCTGTGTTAACTGGCTTCTCTTGTGAAGGTCACCTAGATTCTGCTTGTGGTTGTTTCAGGAGTAGCCTCATGCAGTACCTGAAAAATATATAGATCAAACAACAGGAATCGCACTGTAGGCTGAGTGTGAGTATTTGAAATTGGCTTTTGAAGATGGAAAGATAGAATTCTCCTCGGAGTGGCCTATTCTAGGAATGTGTACCGTTGTAGCTTTGGCAGGTGGTCGGCACCCCGGTCTTTCATTCCTTTGATGGTTTGGTGAGCACGTACAATCTGCCATTTCCTAGCCAAGGTTCAATATAAGACCATGGGGTCGATGAGAGGCGCCATCGGTGATGTTCTAAGGGTAAAGATTGATTTATCAATTATTGCACCAGTACGTCTCATCACCAGGGCACATCCATGAATGTACACATTTTTCAATCTTGCTCCTGTATTGACAATCTAGAATACTACTGAATAAAACACATGGTCAGACAGGCCCAGGTATGCATACCGAGATCTGCTTCCATACGACCAATGTTGTTGCAAAACCTACCTAGACATGTGATCTAGTGACAAAGAAAGGTAGCCGGTGCTCAGATGTTCCAGCAGTACTCAATGTCCACAGAGCTCTGCTGAACCCCACCGCAATACAGCGAGAATTCCATCTCTGACCCGTCCCATATCAGGTCGATCTGCAGCGGCGCCTTGAGGTCGGCATCCGTGTCAGGCTTCCATCTGAGCTGACAGACATTTCGATAGCCTTGGCCTCCATTCTTCCGCGGGTCTGTGCGGCAGACGCGAATACCAAAAACGTCTCCGCCGGTGTGATACTCTGCCGAAAGAGCTTCGGCGGGTATGTTTCGTAGATTCGGTTGGGTAGCGTCAAGAGATTCGTTCTGTTTGGAGGATTATTAGCAATGCATTAATAGTATGAGCCGGGAGGAAAGACCAACTTCTTTGACGAGCCAGATGATTGAGTTCCCGTGGCTGGCGCGAACTCCCCAGCCAGCTCTGACGATCCTGGAGGTTACTAAGGCCGGTTGCTGAAACGCCTGCTCTTGGAGAACCTTGGTAACGGCTCCCATGGACACTGCATTCCAACTTCATGGCACCGTCAGCTATCAGAGTGTAAGGGGGGTTGGAAGAGTTACCCCTCTCTCTTTGGATAGTCGAGGATGGTCGTGGTGGGAGAAACTCTGGCCACAGTCTCTGCGACTTTCTGTCGCAGGTAGGCATTCTGCCCGAAACCTCCGGCCACAACGAGGTACTGGTGATGTTCGCGTTAGTTGGCGTTGCTTAATACGAGCGTTGGAGGCCTTTCACTCACCGACACGTCCTTTGAAAGATTGGCTGAAATCCCCAGCATCTCCTCCTCGATCAGTTGTGTAATCTTTCCCACAATGGGGTCAAAGATCGAAGCAAGATCATCACTAAATTTACTGTCAGCACGATGTCTAACTGCTGTAGCCCATAAGACGATACACGAGTCTCGATCACTTACTGGGTGAATGTAACGTCATCGCCTTGCCCAATGGGCATTCTTCTCTGGCGGCTCGCAGCCCACTTGAATGGCAGATAGATCTTCTGGGTAGGGAAGTTGTCTCCGAAGCGCCGTCTTATAAGAGTCTCCCATCTATCGGAGGTTATGTAGTAGAGATCTTTATCTGTCAGGGCTTTGAACGCCTGGGGAGAGATAATCGTCTCGACCTTCTCCTTTAGAAGTTTCATGAATCCATCATCTAGCAGGCAAGCTCCTGCAAAGATACATTGGCCAGTGCGGATTTCATCGACGCGGAAGGGGTGAATAGAGCGGATTTTATAGGCGGCAGTGTCCTTGATGAGGGATGAGCACCAAACAAGAAAGCTTGGGTAGGGTGACGGGAAACTTACGACGGTACCGCCGCCACAGTCGCAGACCATGACTGTCTCTCCGGGTTTGAGTTTGGAGATCTATTGGAGTGTTGAGCATAAGCAGATGACCGAGAGTTCAAAAAGTTTCTTACGTTTGTATCGAAGTAGTGTGCATTCGAAAAGAAAGCCAGAGCCGCAGCCTCTGGCTCAATAAGGAATTTAGGCGCCAGAACTACATTCTCGTTCAGAATCCCTGCTCGATTCAGGGCTTCTTCCATGGCTTGACGAGCATAGAGTGGCCAAAGCACAGGGACTGTGACGGATACCTGGATGTCAGGGTGGCGGATGTCCTTCTGAAGCTCCCCGAGAAAGACTTTCCAGATTTCGCCAAGGTAGCGTGCTGTTGCATTGATGGCCGTGACATTGATTGCCTCACGGGCTTTGGTTAATTCCTCAAACTTGCGTGAGTTCCTCACATCTGATGGTAGATCATCACGGTGGAGTAAGCTAAGCTTAAACCATTCGATAGTAGTTTTAGAAAGCTCGATCCGCGTAGGGGTTTTCTGTAACCATCCGCCGTCGGATCTCCAAGAGAATGACTTGGCTCCATTGTTCGTCAGTAGCGCATACGAAATTCCTGAGAAACTACAGAGTTGAGTGAGCAAAGTGAGTATCAAGAGATGTGTTGTAAAACACCCACGAAACTTACGTAGTCCCAAAATCTAGGGCAACAATGACACGAGTTCTGCTCCCAGACGAAGAGTCCATGTTTGCTCGGCTCTTTAATCAATGTGAACTGAAGTAGTAACCGAAGTAAGTTGAAGTATAGTCTGATGGAAATTGTGAGTGTCTGACAGACAGGAGATGAGGGAGCTTAAGTGACGCTGGTGTCATGAGTACCCCGGAACAGAAGCCTCGTAGGCAGTGCAGCCCATGTATGTACTATCCGATGCGTCACAACCTAGGCCTTGTGGCCTGTCGTACATGGTAGGTCAGTGAGGAAACGATAGGCAACGATATGACTAGTCACGCGGTTAAGGGGTCATTGCAAGACATCAATAGAACGAAATGTTGGTCAACACCAATAGTTTCCGTTGTGGCACGAGGCAGAGTGGGAAAGGGAGACTGTACTGGTCAGTGTATTCCAAAAGAGCCACTCATCAGTGAATTCTCAACGGAGACGTGCTTGGATATCCGCCTCGCAGCTGGAAGCTACATTAGCTCAGTTACATATCCCCAGCTACACATTCAAAACAAGACAAACAAGCCAATGAGAGACGGCATCTGCGATATTGCGAAGGGGAAAGGCCGTTATCTGGGAGGCACGGGCTGTGTGAATAGAGAGTTGTCGTTTCTTTGTCCAATATGCCACCAATAAAGAAACAAGCCCCATCACCCTCTTCTGGTACAATGACAAAAATAAAATTAAAGGTACTGGATTCATCGACAGGCTTGATGCTAGCTTCTCTAATGCAGATGGGGATAATCTCTGTTTGCCTCTCGTCCATGCAGCGGATGCCCACAGAGCTGAAACTATCCCAGCAGAGGCGTTGTTTGTCCAGCCACGCACAGCCGCTTGTCATACCTAAACTGACTCCTTTATCTGGCAGTCTGTGTTAATTGGACCTGTACTCCTATGGTCATGTGTTGCGGGGATGACAAAGGTGGTCCGGCTTTGGTAATAGACAAGGATGTGTACATAACGCGAAGGGCTGCTCGCACTTTGGAAATGGGTGGACTTGGAAACAATCCTCCTTTCCTTCAAATTTCTCACTCATCGGCGGTCGCCTCTTTCTTACTTCTCAGAACATGGCTGGCCCTCGAAGATCCAAGCGGCTGGAGTCTTGCAGTAAACCTGGCCAAGACAAAGACGCCAAGATCGCAAGAGTGTCAAAAGATCAGCAAGAGGCGGTTCCAGGACAGAACACAAAGATGGGAGAGAGCGCCGTGCAAGGACCTTCGGACTCAGGGGTCGACAGAGTGAGTAGCCACTTTACAGCCGTCCATATTTGTTTCTGAACTGAACGTTTTCGAAGACTTGGCCGAAAGATGCATCGCCGACAGATGCAGAGAGAGAACTTTGGGGCAAACCATTGTCAAAAGAAGAAATGCAGGTGAACTACCCTGCCATCGCTGAACAAAATAGGCTGAGGAACGATGGCCTTGAAGAATTCCGACGGGCTATTCAGCGTGATGCTGGTTTGGGCTACCTACAACACGCTCTTCACGATGAATGGGGTCCCTTCAATGGTCTCATTGTCGGGTTCACAGAGGAAGCTGGTTTCGGGGATCTTTCCTGGGATAGACTTGATGAGGCTGTTCAGCAAAGGTTCATCGGATATTCGCCCTGTGCCCAACAGCTCTTCGAGACACCTGTTGTGCGCCAGTTTATGTTCCAACGGTGGATCTGGGAGATCATTGATGAGTGCTTTTTCACTGGCAAGAGTCAGGATATTGAGTGGACATCGCCGTATTGGGAAGCTCAAGCTGCAATGGAACGCTTCTTGCGAGGTAAGGGAGATGAAAAAGAATCACGTATTCGTGAGACTGACCTTGGCCATAGAGAAAAACTTCCGTTACGACGAACAAGACCTGCGTTTCCAGTACCCCAACTGGCGATTCACCACAATCAATTTCTATTACTCCCTTGGGCTACGCGACAATGACAATCGGATAGGATATTTGATCAATGAAATCAGGATTGAGCCGAGATGCGTGACCAAGATCTTGAAGAAAGCGCTTGGCCAATACTTCCCTGAGAATCCTAGCCCCTTGTTGGAAAAGGATATCTCAACTCTTGTAAAGTTGATCGCCGAGTTCGAGTTAATCTTGGACAGTGGTCGCCATACTCCTCGGCTTGTCTTCCATGACCCCAATACCAACAAGGCATGTGGATTTCCATTTTCAGCCAGAGCCGAGGGATTAGGCACTAAAGTCGTGATGGAATCAGTTGGCCTCCATGACGAAGCCCTATGCAATGGTCTACCTGTCGAACTGGTTGTGTCGCCTATGCTGGTGCTTTATGGGCATAAAGATGGATGGGATTACCACGTTCCGTATGTCGTCGTTCCTCTGCGGGTGTGTGTTGGATATATTGACGGGTTCAGCCAGGACGAGATTGAGACGGAGGAGGATGTAAAGGGGGGCGGAGAAGAGGAGGTGGAGATCATCAAGGATAAAGAGGTCGGCAAGGGGGACGGGGATGAGAAGAAGATCGAGGACGAGGAGTAAGCACAGAGGAGGGGCCGCACTGGCAATCTGATTACGCGGGAATATTCGGCCTAGGCCTGTATTTTTCCAAGTAACTAATTGTATCTAGAAAGTTTTCTTAGATTATTGGCTTGTTATTTTTATTTCAATCGTATTTTTGATGAGAGCCAAAGTGTCGCGTAGCCTAGCGATGGTGGTCCCAGGAGAAAAAAGTGAAGCTCCAGATCTTCCATCTCGGCGTGAACTTGGTGTTGACGAGTGGGGCGACGGCTTTTCTCCACGTGACCTGGAGAAAATGTTCGCGGCCAAGCTTCACATTTAGCCCATCTCGATAGTGAACATCAGATGCAATTCGAGCCCGGCTTGTTCCCATTCATCACCATGGCCCTTCAACCCTGCCGCCCTGGCCTCTGGCGGAGCAGTCATGCCGCCCGAACCCTCATGCCTTGCGTGCGCACCTACGCTACCGACTCAACACCCGAATCATTCAAGACCAAGACCCCGTCTTCCTCTGGTGTCGTGCCACGATGGAGCCAGACGCCTGCTGCTATGAAGGCGCCTCTGCAACTCGACTGGGCAAAGAATCCCCAGAACAAGGTCTGGACTGTCAACAACGATCCCAAGAGGTTGGACGAGGTGTACGAGCGCCTGCTGGGTCCTGGAGGCAGCAAACTGCTGCCCGAGGAGCTCAAGTGGTTGGCTGTCACGCACAAGAGCTTTGATCAGGGGCGGAGAGGATTCAACGACCGATTGGCACTTCTAGGTGGGTGGGGCGAGGGATGAATGTTGGTCTATGCTGACTCTACCAGGACGGATGACTCTTGTCATGGAGACGACAAAGACAATTGTTGCCCAAGGTCCAATGGGAACACCGAATTTTGACGACGGATTTGATCGCCAGCCATTCGTGCATCCAAATTTGCAATCGGTAGACAATCTCTCTATCAAAGGACCCAAGGACGTCGTCGGCAAGGAGAGATTATCTGGCTTGGCAGCTGAAGTGGGATTGATCGATGTTGTGCGGTGGAAGCCCAGACAGGTACATACATCTCCTGTCCGCAGAAACCCGACTAACTTGCAGTAGGTGCAAAAGCTCCGAGCTTCAGGTGCCGATGTCGTGCTCAACGGTGCCATCATGGCTATCATTGGTGCCATCACATTACAGCATGGAGCAGTAGTGGCATCACAGGTCATCAGAGAGAGGATATTGTCAAGACTACAGGATTGAGCATGGTGAGTGGGTTAATCTGTATCATATGTGTACCATAGAAGGTCTGGACCTGTACGTGACAGTCTGGCAACTGTAAAGTGCTCGGGTCTATTGATCAGTCATGAAGCATGTCTATAAGAATTAGGGCTATAAAAGTAACAGGGTATCAATCATGCAACAAAGGCGTCTCCTCATCTACTGTTTGGTCACTCTCATTGTCTTGCTCATTATCGTGATGAATGAGCTTCTCTCGGTATATCCACCCAACACACGTTCCAGCGCCAGGCCCTACAACAATGGAAGTGACCATTGTTGTCAAAGGAACACGCCACCCAACCTCCACCAACATCCAGTACAGAACGGTCCAGAAGATGAACTGGGCGTTGACTTCAATAAAGACAATGATTGACCTTGTCATCTCCTTGCGGTCGTCGGGTTGAGTCAAGCTCCAGATGAAAGAAACATGCGCTAGAACCGAGCAGATCAAGGGCAGTATGTAAACAAACAGCAGAGACCACCGATTCGATGCGAGGTGGACGAGTGATGGGTCAACCCTCCTCAGTGCAGAGATAGTGTGACGAATAATCTGACGAATGATCTCGACATAGATCGGGAAGAAGAGCCAGATGCCGATCGTCTCGGGAGTTGTATAGAACAGCATCAGAAAAGACGGAAGAAAGTAACCAAGCGCCACACTGATAGGAATAGCCACGAGCTCATTATCAGGAAGATGACGGCTCGTGAATATCTGGTGGACGTCACCTCCGTCGTCTCTCTGTGCATTCAAAACACTTCTCGCGCGATGCAGAAACGCAGGGATAATAACAAGCTCCCAAACGACAGCACCACCCACAAGATCAAATACCAACCACGGACCAGTAGGATACGCGATGAGGACATTCGGCGCATTGCAGATACGCGCTGATTCAACGGTGCTCACTGTCAAGAGGCCACCGATAAAGGCTAGAACAACGCCCATGACCGCGCGGCTGCGCAGTGAATGAAGCGCGGCGCGGAAGAAGCTGATGAGATAACATAGAGGCGTTCCGAGACCTGGAATGTGACTGACACCAGGGAGACGAGCGCGAGAGTGACATTGGGACCAGAGAAGAGCAAAGTTGACGTCTGAGTGGAGGAAGAGAGCGACAATGGTTGCTGCGGCCAGGAGGATTGGTGGGATGATTAGAGAGCGATATGAGAAGTGGTGAATAGGCGCTTTCCGAGGCATGTTGGAGTTTGCTGAATTAAAGATGATGAGAAGAAGACTGCGATTAAAGTCTTATTGTGAGTTGGGTGATTATTATGGTCAGGTGGGAGAGGCTCTCGTGATTAAATTACAAGACCAGTTTTGGTGTTGAGATTCACACCATTACACCCGCGTTAGGCTTAATGGGGAAGCAACACTTGGTGATATGAGATGTGCCACTCACTCACTTATCATGAGAGCAAGTTTAAGTCGTTCATCTAAATACTATCGTCTAGTATTGATGAATGTGATGCCTTAAATGACTGATGATAAGCAAAGCATTCGTGAGAAATAAGCGACCTTTCTCGTTCAATTTATGTCGCGATTATGAGACTTGATCTACTTCTCGTCACTGTACCATTGAAACAGTAATCGAGGGACATACTCCCTTTGACGGATATAGGTATCGAATGCAGTTGTCGCTTGAAAGTGTGTCTGCTTAAACCCATCGGGAATCTAAGCGATCTTAATCGAGATGTGCCTCTTTGGCAATGTACATGAAGTGCTACCCTAGGTCTGAAGATCCCTGGATCTCTGCTTACTGCCAAACTTCACAGGACAGTGGTACATACGCTGTGTGAATGGAGTCTTATTAGCTACCTGAGAGTGGTACATAAGCAACATGGTTCTCGGTCAAGTCAGACAATTTACGTAGCTGCAGTTTGTACACCCAGTACTCAGGACCATCCAGTCACTTGAGCCACACAGTTAACGATAGATCGTTGTTCATGCTAGAAAGAATATGTGTACGTGAGTGAGATGCTTCTCGTTACTCAACGCCCTCATTAGCTAGTTGTGATACTCTCGCCTGTGTGGTGAATACAATTCTGGACGAGCTATGATGGTTTCAAGCTGCTAGTAGAATTGTATTATAAATGGCTACATCAGTGAGAAATGACCAGAAGGGGCTTGGAGGGAGCAATAATGCATCAAGACTGGATATGGGATTGTAAAATAAACTTAGCAAAAGATATCCTAAACTTAGGAAAGTTATCCTAAGCATAGACTAACGTACCTAAATCATTTCTATCTTTAGGATTAGGGTCCTGGGTTTTCTATCCTCCCCTAGAGAGTATGAGATGGGCTGGGTTTTGTCTGACAGTGTTTGGTGTTTCATCGGCCAAGTCGAGGATGCACTTGAGCGATGAGTTATCATGAGCGTGACTGAACTCAAGATCCTGACCGTCCGTACACAAAAGACGAGTTTCTTCAAGCTGGTGCAACTGACCGAGTCCTGTACACAAGTACACCAAATATGTTGAGATGATAACTCACATAGGTCAATGGGCCTGCTGCCGATGGATAAGCCGCTGAAACGTACCCCACGTCAAATACATCATACATCATGCTCAACCCATCTTGGACCGTTTCACGCCCGGATTTCAACGTCCGAGGAGGGGAAACCCTCTGCATTTGGAGCCAAGCGTCTCGGCAAGACTTGATCAGGCAGGTCCGTAGCCACAAACTCATCTGACTGGATGCACAACATGTCGCTACTCTTATTCTCCCGAAGCTCCCGCTGGTGAGGTAGTCTATGATTCGATGACACCCTGCATCGCTTGATGCTGCGGCCCCTCCCCCAGGTTTTAGCGGCGTCAGTGGACCGAGCCCCTCTTCCGGGGCGGCTAATAGAACCCCGGGAGAACAGGGTCTACCTAAGGTAAGCTGCGGGAGCTGGAGGAACGGGGGGTACCCGACAACCAAACACATGACACAGAGACAATAAACGCAGCGCAACCCCTCGATTGTTTTGTCTCTTGTTTTTATTCCCTCTCTTTTGGAAATCTCACGTTTGACTGCTTTGTCGCTTTTGGATACACAGGCCTCGACAGTTCGGCACCTGAGGTGACGGAGCTAAGCGATCCACTCGTTCCGGTCTCGCAATCGCTCTCATGATTCTTTAATCATGGCATCCCAAATGCTTCGCCCGCTGGCCTCGTCCGCGGTTCCAGCGTCAGCTTCCGAGCTGTGCGCCTCCTCCTTCTTTATACAGAAGCAATTGAAAGGGTATCGAGTTCAAGGTACGCTTTTTCGACTGGTGAAGCTCAAGCTAATAAGCTTCAGATGTCCTTTCTCGTCGCAAGCAATGGCACAGCACCTTGAGAGCTCCTCGACAGCATGCTCTTGTCGCAGACGTCCCCAAGCCTCTCGCATTGATCCACCATGCTTCTGCACCCCCTCGCAAATATTCCACCGTGGTTCTTCCCAAGACAACTCCCTATGATCATCTTGTTGTTGGTGTTCCAACCGAGATCTTTCCCGGGGAGCGCCGTGTAGCTCTCACGCCTGCTAATGTTGCACTCCTCAAGAAAAAAGGCTTCAAACAGGTTCTCGTTGAGCGTGGTGCTGGTACATCTGCTGATTTCCTCGATGCCGCCTATGAAAAAGCCGGCGCAACTCTTGTCAATGGTCCCAAGGAAGTCTGGTCCAACTCAGACATCGTTCTCAAGGTTCGCGGTCCCGGTCTCGGAGAGGTTGAATCCATGAAAGAAGGCCAAACCATCATTTCATTCCTCCAGCCCGCTCAGAACAAAGAACTCGTCGAAAAGATTGCCGCTAGAAAAGCTACCAGTTTCGCCATGGACATGATTCCCCGTATCTCCCGAGCTCAGGTCTTTGACGCCCTCAGCAGCATGGCCAACATTGCCGGTTACAAAGCTGTTCTCGAGGCGTCCAATGTCTTTGGTAGGTTCCTCACTGGTCAAGTCACTGCTGCTGGAAAGATTCCTCCCTGCAAGGTTTTGGTTATTGGTGCTGGCGTTGCTGGCTTGAGTGCTATTGCTACTGCCCGTCGTATGGGTGCCATTGTCCGTGGTTTCGATACTCGATCTGCTGCTCGCGAACAGGTTCAATCTCTTGGAGCCGAATTCATCGAAGTCGAACTTGAAGAGGATGGATCTGGAGCTGGTGGATACGCCAAGGAAATGAGCAAGGAATTTATCGAAGCTGAAATGAAGCTGTTCAAAGACCAAGCCAAGGAAGTCGACATCATCATCACCACTGCATTGATCCCTGGAAAGCCTGCCCCGAAACTGCTCAAGAACGATATCCTCGATGTTATGAAACCTGGAAGTGTCATTGTCGATCTGGCTGCTGAAGCTGGAGGTAATTGTGAAGCTACCAAGAAGGGTGAACTGGCCGTCTACAACGATGTCAAGATTATTGGTATGTCCATTTCCCTTGCTTGAAGTCTACTGACATTGACATTTTAGGATACACTGATCTTCCCTCTCGTCTGCCAACTCAGTCCTCGACCCTCTACTCCAACAACATCACCAAGTTTCTGCTCTCCATGACCCCTGAGCCCAGCGCTTTCGGAATTGATCTATCAGATGAAGTCGTCCGAGGTGCAATCGTCACCCAAGAAGGAGATATCCTGCCGCCCGCTCCTCGCGCAGCACCTCCTCCTCCACCTGTAAAGACTGAGGCAGCCGAAGTGGCCCCTGAACCTGTAGCTCTGACTCCCTGGCAAAAGAAGACCCGTGAAGTTGCTGGCGTAACCGCTGGTATGGGCAGTATCTTGGCTCTTGGAAAATGGACCAGCCCTCTTCTCATGTCGAACGCTTTCACCTTTGCTCTGGCTGGTCTTATTGGATATCGTGCTGTCTGGGGTGTTGCTCCCGCTCTCCACTCTCCTCTGATGAGTGTCACCAACGCTATTTCCGGTATGGTCGGCATTGGTGGTTTGTTCATCCTTGGAGGCGGATTCCTGCCCGAGACTATTCCTCAAGCTTTTGGCGCTCTCAGTGTTTTGCTGGCTTTTGTCAATGTTGGTGGTGGTTTTGTCATCACCAAGCGTATGCTGGATATGTTCAAGCGTGAGTTGTTTGATCTCCCACTCAACCCAGCTAACAGGAACAGGACCTACTGACCCCCCTGAGTACCCCTGGCTCTATGCAATTCCTGCTGTTGTTTGTGGTGGCGGTTTCGTAGCTGCTGCATCCACTGGTGCTGCTGGTCTCGTTCAAGCCGGTTATCTCGTCAGCTCTGTTCTTTGCATTGGCTCCGTCTCTAGTCTTGCTTCCCAAGCCACTGCGCGCATGGGTAATGCTCTCGGTATCCTCGGTGTCGGTACAGGTGTATTGGCTAGTCTGCTCGCTGCTGGCTTTACCCCTGAAGTCCTCACTCAGTTTGGTGGTCTTGCTGCACTTGGTACTGTCGCTGGTATGCTCATCGGAAAGCGAATCACTCCTACCGATCTTCCTCAAACTGTCGCCGCTCTTCACTCTGTGGTTGGTCTTGCTGCCGTCTTGACTAGTATCGGTAGTGTCATGGCTGATGTCATGGACCCTTCCACTCTCCATCTCGTCACAGCATACCTCGGTGTTGTTATCGGTGGCATCACGTTTACCGGATCCATAGTTGCGTTCCTCAAGCTCGCCGGCAGGATGACATCTAAGCCAAAGATCCTGCCTGGACGGCATATCATTAACTCAGGATTACTCGCAAGTAACGCAGCCACCATGGGTGCTTTCATTACAATGGCCCCAGGGAACCCCTTGGTTGCAGCTGGAGCGCTTGCTGGAAGCACTGTTTTGAGCTTCATCAAGGGATACACCACCACATCTGCCATTGGAGGTGCTGACATGCCCGTCGTCATCACTGTTTTGAACGCATACAGCGGTTTCGCCCTTGTTGCAGAGGGTTTCATGCTTGAGAATCCCCTTCTCACCACTGTTGGAGCCTTGATCGGTGTATCTGGTTCAATTCTGTCGTACATCATGTGCGTGGCCATGAACAGATCACTGACAAACGTGCTATTCGGAGGTCTGGGCACGCCAACTGCATTACAGGAGTTTAAACCTCAGGGAGAAGTCACCCAGACCTCAGTAGATGACCTTGCCGATGCACTTCTCAACTCTGAAAAGGTCATTCTCATTGTTGGCTACGGTATGGCCGTTGCCAAGGCTCAATACGCCATCTCAGACATTGTCAAGACTCTTCGATCCAAGGGTATCACTGTCCGTTTCGCCATTCACCCAGTCGCAGGTCGTATGCCTGGTCAGTGCAATGTTCTTCTCGCTGAAGCCAGCGTGCCATATGATATCGTCCTGGAAATGGATGAGATCAACGATGACTTTTCCGAGACTGACCTGGCTGTTGTCATTGGCGCCAACGATACCGTCAACCCTATTGCTCTGGAAAAGGGCAGCTCTATTGAGGGTATGCCCGTGCTGCATGCCTGGAAAGCCAAGCAGGTTGTCGTCATGAAGAGAGGCATGGCCAGTGGTTATGGTAAGTTGCCCGTCCCTTGTTCGAATGCAGCTAACAAGAGCAGCTGATGTTCCAAACCCCATGTTTTACATGCCCAACGCAAAGATGCTGTTTGGAGATGCTAGAGTGACATGTGAAGGTTAGTAGCCCGTCCAGTTTCCAAACTCTGCTGACCATTTAGCCATCAAATCTGCAATTGAAGCAAAGTCGTAGATCGTGAGATTTCTTATGTAGTTCGTATAAGAAGGATCTGAAGACCATAGAGTGCACATTTTCTAGATCTTATATCATTTTTAGCTGTAGAACTGGCAGCTTCTGAATTCAATGCTTGGGTTTCTCAATGAACCTCTACGCGAATTTATATACATTTGACCACTCCTCATGCCCGAGGCGCCGCCACAGGCTCCCATGCCGAGATCTTGGACTTGGAACTAAAACGGTCAGAATTTTGCCTCCTACGAAATGCGAAACATACGTGTTGTAAGTCTTGAAAGCGCCGCGGGTCTGGGTAAAGTTGGGGAGGGCGCGTGAGGGCTCAAAGGCTCGGACACCGGCTTGTAGTAGGGGGTCCTCGGTAGGAGGCTTATCGACGCTGTAGCTGATCCAGGCGTGCCATCCGGGCTCAATGTGAGCGGCGTCGTAGTCGTGCTTGGCGTACTCGACCCAGCGTGTTCGGAGGGGGAGTTCCTCGTTGTTCTCAAAGAACTTGTTGCCGGCGCGATCGGTGCCAATCAGACGACCAGCCTTGGTGTCACCTGCGGATGTCAGTGGATGATTCGGCGGATATTCGAGGAAGCGTACCGATGTACTATTCGTGAGAGCAGGCGTCATTAGCCAGAGTCGAGATCGTTCGGTCAGGTACCTACCAGCATCTGGACAAAGTAGTCCTAGTCAAGTTAGCATTGGCTCATTGGCGGGTGACAGCAGACTTGCCTTGATTCCAACCTTGCGCAGGTTGGACAATGTTCGTGAGATTGTCGACATGATGGCGGTTGAGCGACAATTGACCTCAGCAGGATGATTGTTGATAGCTTGTCGATGATGTGAGGTTTGAAGATTACCGCGGGTCAACCTCGGCAGATTGATTTCGTGACGATGGGTACGTACCTCGAAGCTCAACCAGAAATTCCACCGATTTACGGATACAAGCACTTTTAATAGCAGCTTTAATTGAGGTTAGCGATTCGGGATGCTTACTCGGAGCTGTGCGCGATGCACTACAAGGCTGCGTGCCGCAAGCTTCAAGCCTAGAGTTCCCAGCGCAAGAGTCCAGACCAGGCAGTATGCGATGCCAGCTGGAAACACTCAGGGTTCTGTGAATAACGCTGGAGCTTTGGCCCCTTTCGTCACTGAATTGGATCGATTGGCACCGAGTTTCGATGTTCGAGGGGAGCAGATCCAGATTATTCGTACTCCAGCCGAGTTTTACGAAACGCTCAAGGTGGGACTACCATTGGTACGAAAATGACAGGGCTGATTGTTTAGGATCGCATACGAAAAGCACAGCGACGGATCTTCTTGTCGACGCTGTACATTGGAAAGTCGGAAAAGGAACTCATTGAGACGCTGCAGGAGGCGTTGAGGAAGAATCCGGACGTCAAATTAAGTATTCTTACAGATGCGTTGCGAGGGACAAGAGAGGCGCCTAATCCATCGAGTGCATCGTTACTTGCGCCCCTGGTCGAGGAGTTTGGGGCAGACCGTGTGGAAATTCGAATGTATCACACGCCAAATCTCACTGGATTGAGGAAACAATATATTCCCAAGAGGATAAATGAGGGCTGGGGACTTCAGCACATGAAGCTTTATGGTGTTGATGATGAGATCATCATGTCTGGGTATGTCGAAAGACTCGGGGTTGAAGATATACTGACTTTTCAGGGCAAATCTGTCGACTGATTACTTTACCAACCGTCAAGATCGATATCATCTTTTTGCTTCAAAGGCGGTGACTGATCATTTCTGGAAGATCCATTCAGGGGTTACATCCTTTAGCTTCTTGGTTCGACCCTCAACAGAACCAGCGGGTTTCACACTCTCATGGCCAGAGAAGAACTCTGCTCCTTCGCCATTAGAGGAGCCCCAGTCTTTCATCAAGAGCACTACATCAACACTCCAGACTCTGTTACATCCGACAACCAAGCCTGAGAACGACATTACTGATACTCGAGTTTACATGCTTGGGCAAATGTCCCAGGTCATGAAACCCGACACTTCAACTGAGCTCCCCGTCATTACACACATCCTCAAGACTCTCGCTCTGCCCGAATATCGCGAGTCTTCATGGACCTTTACAGCAGGCTACTTCAACCCCGCTCCCTCTCTGACAAAACTCCTCCTCAACACCGCATCTACCTCAAATACCGTTATCACAGCTTCTCCTGAGGCAAACGGTTTCTACAAGTCGAAAGGTGTCTCGGGTCTCCTCCCTGATGCCTACACTCTCCTTGCCCGCCGTTTCGTCCATCGCGTCCATCACCAAGGCCGTGATAACGACATCACATTGAAGGAATGGCGTTATGGTGTTGTTGGTCAACCTGGTGGATGGACATATCACGCCAAGGGTCTCTGGGTGACAATGCCCGGTGACAAGAACCCCGCTATGAGTATTATTGGAAGTTCCAACTATACCAAGCGAAGCTACTCTCATGATCTCGAAGCGGGTGCTTTGATCGTAACCCGCGATAAAGGACTGAAGGGAAGACTTGGAGAGGAACAGCTATGGCTGCAGGAACATGCTACCAAGGCAACGCGAGATGACTTTGCCCGCACTGAACGAAGAGTTGGGCTCAAAGTCAGGGTTGCCATGTGGATTGTTTCGCTTGTCGGCGGAGCATTGTAGACTCCCATGTATAATATTGTGCTCATAGATGACAATCTAACGATACCCGCAACGATGATAACTTGACGAGATTAGCCTTCACAGGAATGTCCACTGATGAATGCATGCGATTGTATACAGAATAATACAGGTAGTTTACACGCTCATGCCCTAATCACTGGTGTCCCTAACTTGGGCCCCTTGACCAGGCCTTGCACAACAACTCTGCTCACCAAATCGCTCTGGTGCTTCCTGATCATCTCCTTGAGCACGCTCCGTTCCAGGACCACCTTGCCTGTCTCCAAAAGGTCCTTGACATCAACATCTTGCAGGTCTAGTGCTCTGCCCTCCCAAGGAAGCTGCTCCATGGCGCCGAATAGAGCTTCACGTCGGTTTCCAGTAACAAAAAGAGTTCGACCGCTAGCACGGCCCAGGCCAAGGTTACCCAGCACTCCCGTCATGTAACGCTTGAGATACGCCTCCTTCAACCCGTCCTTGAGGTACTTTCCAGCAACGAGCTCGTAATCAGTCGGCAGCGCAAGATCCATGCCGTCCTCACACACAATCAGATCGCCTTTTCGGTACCGGTAGCTCAGAGCTGTGCGCCATGCCTTGTCGTACACCTTTCGGGTAAGGCTGGTGCCAAAGTCGCGGGGATGAGGACCGAATGTCTTTCCACCGCCACGATTCACGGGGCTCTGCTTGGTTCCCATACGAGCTCGACCAGTTCCCTTTTGCGGACGCATCTTTCGATGGGAGCCGTGGACATCGTAACGGGTTTTGGAGGAGGCGGTTCCTTGACGGGTGTTGTCACCTTCGTAGACGACGGCGAGATGGAGGAGATCTCGGCGGAGAGGGAGGTAGAGGTGGTTGACGTCCCATCGTTCGAGAGAAGTCGGTTCCAGCGAGGGAAAGGCGTGGACTGTAACGGGAACAGTTGTGACTGCGGTGGTCAGTAAGGTCATTGACGGCTGACGGGAGTCGTACTGGGCTTCCAAGATTCGAGAATGCCTTGTGTGGTGTTTGGAGATTTAGCCTCTGCAGTATTCTTTGGAGAGACTTCTGTGGCCATTGACCTTGTAAAGGCCTTGTTGAGTGTCGCCGGCTTCATCTGTTAGCATTGAAGCGATTTGCAGTCTCTTCACATACCTTGGCAGACACCCGCAGAGCACCCATGGCCTCAGCCAGGCACCCAATTCCCTTGCCAGCCATGATATCAAATCCCTAGCCGCCGTCGATAGGGAGATTTGCTGTGATTGGGGACAGTAGTTCGCTTGGTGTTGAGGCTTCAAAACTGTGATGCGATACTGCAAAAAAGTGGATCGGCAACATCCTCCGCTCCCCGAGTTTTTAGTGGGGCCAACCTGCAAACCATCCCCAGAGCATTTTTCAATATCTCGAGATATCACCAGCGTCACTTTCAACGTCCCACACATACGGCCTCTACGCTCCGCTGCCCATCATGTCGCGCTGCCAGGCCGTTATGCGGCCAATCGCTCGGCAGCTGCGGCCCAGCGTCGCCCGACCGTTCACCTCTGCCGCAATTCGACGATCAGCCGAGACACAGACTGCCACGCCCAGCGCAGCAGACCTCGATCCCAATACGGTGCTCCCCGAGTTTGAGCAGCAGCTCATGAAGGCTGGAAAGATGCCAATTGGATCACGACGACGAAGAATGGCTATCCGGAGCACGGGCGACCTGCCGTTTGAGCATCTCCCGTACCAAGCTTTTCAAGAGGCTCGCAAGATTCTGGCGGTGGATCGTGAACAGAAGCTGGCGGAGATAACCAAAGAGCTAGAGAAGATCTCTCGGTTAGAAGCTACGAGTCCGGACGATATCAAGGGGGGCCAGAAGATGAAGGATGTTAAGATCAAGAGTCTGCACAAATATGTCGAGAGGCTCAAGATCCTTGCAGATGCCAATGACCCTGTTGTCAAGAAGCGTTTTGAAGATGGAACAGGTAGGCACCCCAATTGACCGTCTGGATCTGACTAACGCGCCCAGGCGATATGAACAAGCCTATCTACCGTCACTACGCCGAGGCCAAGTGGCGCTCCTACGACCACCGTCTCATCACCCAACGTATCAAGCAGTTCAACATCGTCCCCGACGTTCTCCCCAAGCTCGAACCCACAGCCGATGTTCAGCTATACTTCCGCAAGCTCAAGATTCCTCCCGGCCAGATCGTCGACAGTGTCGTCAGCGAGAACGCACCCCGTCTTCGAGTTCAAGTGTTTGACAAGGGCGAGCGACTCGTCTCTGTAGTCGTCCTCGACTCTGATGTTCCCAACCCTGACTCCGATACCTTCAACAAGCGCTGCCACTTCCTCGCCGCCAACATCCCCATCAGCCCTACAGACACATCGCTACCTCTGAGCAGGATAAAGGGCGAGGATCAGCTTGCTCTACCGTGGCTCCCCGCATTCTCCCAAAAAGGCGCTCCGTACCACCGTCTCGGTATCTATCTCCTAGAGCAGCAACCCGGCAAGAAGATCGACGTTGCCAAGCTCAAGGAACTATACAGCCAGCGCGATGGATTCTCGCTCAAGTCCTTCCGCGACAAGTTCAGCACAACGCCCTTTGGGTTCAACATGTTCCGTAGCGTCTGGGACGAAAACACCGCGGCTGTCATGGCGCGACACAACATCCCCGGCTCTGATATCGAGTTCAGACCTACGCGCGTGTACAGCCTCAAGCCTCCCGTCAAGCCCCGTGGATGGGAAGCCAAGCGACAAGGACCCAAGTACCGTCACCTTTGGAAGTACACCAAGAACATCAGAGGTATCTCGAACTCGAGGGGATGGATCAAGAGGAGGTAGAGAGAGGGATGAGCGTGTATCATACTGTACATTTAGAAAATGGAAGAGTATCAAGAGAAATAAATTACGTGCAACTCAATTTTGTTCAGTTACCAGTGTCGTATCAATGTCGTGAACATTATCGTTATTCCCGATTGACTTCAGCCGCATTATTTCCTACAGTAGCCGGTGTCTTGTTTCAACGTATCACCACCAATCATAAGCCTCAGCTATAGTCAGACGTTTGTCCGGTGGCAACACTCGCCACGATCTCGACAACAGTCACATATGCTCTAATTGGTATGAAATGCGGAGTCGGGATGATCATCTTCTACATGTGTTCAAGTTCAGGGTCATCAAGGGGCTCGTTCTGTGGCAAAGCTTGATATTGCCACCAAACTTTACCTTTGATAACCCCAAACCCCAAACCCCAACTTGTGCTCTACATGATCTCGTGTCCTTGATGAGTCCAGATCTTTCCATGTCGGCAAAAGTTCCTGGCATTTACGATGGCCAGTCATCATTTCGATCGCAAGTCTCCTCGTCACAAGCTGTTCCCTGCGGACCATTTGCTCAGAACGGGTTTGTCATCAACGGCTATCGTTTCCTTCTTCAGGTTTGAATATTTTCTTTTGTGCTACCCTCCCTGTCTCCCTCGTCATGGTATTCATTATATCCCACCCTGAAAGCACTCAGGGCGTCCTGTCATAGTGACAGGAAGCCTCTCCTCTATTCCTTCCCATAGGCTACCAAATTACCGGCCAAGGGCCAAGAATCAAACCGGTTGCCACGAGAACTTCATGCTCGTCGGCCCAGATAGTAATCGTACATCCCATCTGCACAAATCACACCATGATCGTGAAAGCATCAAGTCATAAATATTTCCTTGCCTGTACCCCTTTTGCCAAACTCCTTTCAGTATATACGCCATATCACCTTTCCTGTTATGGGAATGGCCGATCGTGGTACTGTTGCCGCACCATAGCCAGGTTTTGTAAGGGTATCTTCCCACTGAAGCATCTCGCTCGGTATTTTTCTTTTCGTGTTCGTGTTTGTCGCAGCTCGGAGGACTTTCATCTAGCTTTGACCCAAGATTCGGCATGTTGGTATCATCCGTTGTCGAGTCGAAGAAATTTCAAAGTCGCAATAGCAAGGCTGTTGTGTTCATGTGGAGTTGGGGTCAAGATAGCTTGACCTCTAAACTCAAACCACCATCTCTGTTGGTGCAGCGTCCGCCCCATCGATTTACACTCAGATTCTCGCACCAACAAGGTTATCCGGTTCGTGGTCGTAGATTATTTCTGATTCTATCGATCGTGTTACAGAGGTGGCGACTAGATGATGGTCAGTCATCAACTCATGAGTCGTATGCTTGAACAAGGTTCGACATACCGCTTGAGCTACGACGATGCGTATTGTAAAATTCTCCACGTACATTTTGTGGCGGTACTGGAGGAGGTTGTCTGCTCTGCGCTGCAATACGCTGAACATATTTCTTTGCCTCGTTATCAAGCCATTGATTGATGTTGGCATCATTGCAAGAAGCATGGTCCATGAGTTGATTCTTGATGGTGGTCAACTCACCCATGAGGTCAGTGTACTGACTGTGTAGGGCATTGTGCTCAATCTCCAAATCTTTTGTGGTTTCCTCCAATTCTCTTATCCACACCTTCTTCTTTTGACGACATTTGGACGCCGCGATCCTGTTACGTCTGAGGAACTTGCTGCGTTTTTGCGTCTCATCCAATCCATCATCCTCGTCCTCATCTTCCTCATCCAGTGATGGCTCCTTTGGTGCTCGTTTCTGGCGCGTCTTGGCGACAGGTTCCACTGATGACTGTTTGCGTTGTGTCTTGGTAGCTCTGCTGCTGCGCCGGGGTTTGGTGTCGGTTTTGTTTGAATCTACCGAAGGGATAGACGATTTGCTCGATTGCCGTGTTGGGCCGCCAGACGTGGGCTCACTGGATAGAGTTTCTGGGGTTGATTGCATTTCGTTGGGTACTTTTGGACTGTTGTTCAAAGCTGATGGTGCCATTGCTGGCACGGAGGGAGGGAAGAAGTTGGCCTGATTGTTCATCGGGTTCCACATGTTGGAGCCCATGAGAAGCTGGTTGTTGATGGGATTGCTAACGATCGGGGACGCCTGAGCTCCCGTTGTGCAGTCGAGCAATGGGTCAATATTGACATCATCGCTTGTCAGGGGAAAGTTGTTTTGGAAGCTCTGGGCTTGGTCGCTAAAGTCCTGGCTTGGTCCGTCCATCTTGATCCTGCAAGACCGTTGAGACTGTGCTGAAGCGTGGGACCTGGGGTTACAGCGACACGACTAGGCTGGTGTGGCTGAGCTGATTGTTACTGGCTGTCAGAGAAAGCGCCAAACTGGTGAGCCGCTCGAGACAACGTCGAGGTCAGGAAGCTCGCTCGATGGGAATTGAGCGTGCAGCTCTGGAGATCGGGAGATCTGGAGCGGGCACAGGGAGGGGGTGCTTGGCCGGATTGGTTGAGATGGGGGTGTAGATGTTCCAGAACATCAAAGACCAACGGCGGCCAGAAAAGGAAACGGATCAAGGGAAGATGAAGAAGAACTTGTATCAGGAACACAATGTCGAAGGGAATGGGTAATAAAGAAATGGCCGTGTTGGAGTAGAGGTGTAGCTCTGCTGTTGGCAGGGCGGATGGGAAAATCAGGCAGGCGCTCAACGGAGAAACCAATCCGGTGGTGCAGTGTAGTGCAGCACAGCTCAGTGCCTGAGTACTCCAGTACCTTACAGCCGAGCTGACCTCACCGAAAGAATGGCAGTTTACCACCGATCGATAATAGAATAAGTCGATTTTGAGGCCCAATTCCCAAGTTGAAGCTCAATGGCACGGCCGGGTACAACGTTTTGGTAAGTAGCAGGGGAGGGAGGGAGATGTTCCAACTAAATCTGGACGCTGGGGCGAATTGCCTCGTCTGTTCCTGTTCTCTGCGTCCGGGGTCGTTGATCCAATAGTGTGTTTCGGCTTCGCCTATGCAGCTATAAGATCTAGACGCTGGGGCGAATTGACCTTTTGGGTAAAGTCAGGGAGGAAGGCAAACATCTGTCAGAAACAAAGTCGAGATGCCGAGGTTGACAAGCTTGCCAGAAAATTCGATGATTGTAAGATGGGAAAGTCAGAAGATGTAGCTGTAACAGAAGTCCAGCAGTCGCACCAAAGCTAGGTAGATGAAGGGATTCGGATATTATATTATGCCAACAACGGATGCGACCACTATCAACAATTTCTTGCGTCACTTATTCCCCGGGGTAGTGTGTATCAGTGGACCTGGTTGCGGTTTATGGTAATGTAGCTGGTTCTGTACGTGTATCCAACAACTAGGGTTGGGAGTATATATAAAAGATTGGTGGGTGAAGATAGGAAACGAGGTGTGCAATGTTGACAACTTTATGTCCGGACCAAGTCCGTTGGTTTCAATTCGCAATACAAAGCAGCCAGTGTGAGCCGGGGTATAGTTTCTTGCTGGACAATGTACCGAAGCTGCGAGATACCAGAGCTGTTGAGGTTATAAGTGATCCTAAATGTCTTGCTGACCCACAATCTTCTGCTTTGCACGAATCATAACCATAGGGGAGCAGTATCAGCTGTGGTGAGGTGAGGAAAAAGTCCCTTCAGTCAAAGACAACGTCATCCCGTTCGGAACCTTGAGCCAAAGATGGTAGGATATGCCTAGCATAAGCGGTAGAGGTGCTTGGACTCTAAATCCACCAGTACTCCAATCACAAACTGCGAAGCAAATGGTACTTCGATATTCAAGTGGCCCCTTGGCGGAGATACTATCTTCAGTTCGGGGATGTGTGGGTGTGGCCAATCATGGTGTAACGGACCTGGAGTCCGTGATTTTCAACCACCAATCAATGTTGATGAACCTTGTCCGTCAAGGCCGCACCCGGCGAGACAGTGCAAGACGGACTGTACACACCGACCTCAGTAGCGAAGCGAAGCGAGCGAGACTATTGCAGCATCCACCTATCATGTCAACCAGCAACTCAAGCTTTGATATCATGGTCATTATCAAGTCAAGAGCTTGATCCTTTGACAGCTCGAGAACCCGTTGGGCTAATATCTGAAGATCATGACGAACCTCATTCATGTCTTTTGGTTATGACTTGATTCCTGCAATGATTCCTGCAATAAAGTATCACTCCCGATGCACACAGGGTCCTTCCAGTGATGGTTAGTCAAGCCGGCAATCCTTCGCATACAAGACTCATGGTTGTGACAAGAGATATCTTGAACTGATCGACAAACGTGATCAGGATTTTGGCACCCACACAGAGTAAGGATCGACCTCGGATGCGTGGCCTTTGCTGCAAGCTGATAAATTTTAACGCACGGGGAATGCCGTATAACTCAATGCCTGCAGGGGTCATGAACTCCTGGATATGTGATGGAGTTCTTTGTCTTGGTCTCCGACTTTATCAGCCTTCGCATCACAGCGTGTCTGCCGTGGCATTGAGCCGAACACCAAGACACAGTTTGGTAGGGCTAATAAACTGTGCGTCTTTCACTGCCTTTACTTTCCAATTCCCCCTCTCTGGTCAACGGCGACTCAGCGCATCATTCCGGAGCTTTTACTCCGCCTTGGGCTGGGCTTCGACAAATGCGAGGAGCGGGGTTGACTTGGGCGAATAAGGTTATGCGCTGCCAGGCCTGTCAAGGGTAATGTGTTCCGTACCGTAGGGGCTTTCTTGGCTTGACTAGCGGGTTTATCGTGGGAATGAGACTTGTTGAACCCGGTTGAGCGGAGGAACCGGGCAAAGGTCCGAATAGGCGACCACAGCCGTGGGGCTCTCGATATTTATTTTGAAGACGAAGGGTTTGACTCTGCAATTTTCAAGGATAAACAGCATTGTGAGATGAGCGCGTTTCACTGACAGATTCAAATGATGGGAGATGAAGGCATTCATAAGCATGTTTGTCAAGATGGGTAATAGTCACGTGATATTTACCTCACGTGACTGCGCGTCAGCTCAACGCGCTTCCCCTCCGCATTTATCGCCAACAGCTTCACATGCGTTTCATCGTCTAACCTCCCACCAACATCGCATGCTTACCTGTCAATTAAGCATCTGAGACACAACCCCTGTCTGCTCGCTTATCTTTCTCATCTCCTTATCTCTCTAGCTTGATCGCAAACGAAAACCAAACACCATGGCTGAGCAACTTTCAACCCCGCGCATCACTGCTGCCTATCTTGACAATTTCGTTGGCAAAGTTGTCATGCTCGTGGGAAAGGTCACGCAGCTACGAGGTGAACAGGCCACTCTTGACTCAGAGGGTACTGTCACCGTCTTGTTGAACAGGGTGAGTTGACATCAAATCTGGTGTCAGTCTCACGACATCAGATGCACTGCAACACTGAGCTGACATTTCAGGATGCACACCTCACAAATGGTAACGCTGTGCAAGTCATTGGAAAAGTCAATCCGGACCTGTCGATCAAGGTTTTGACATCCCGGGATTTGGGGACTGGTGTGGGTAAGTCAACACTCGTCTTCCTGTCGTCATTATGGCGTACCGACGTTACAACATGCAAATTTGGTCCCCATTGTGCTCGGCAGTTGAAGAGCATGATTCAGTTCACTATGCCGTTTGCGGATGACAGTTAACATGTGTAGATTTCGGGTTATACAGCTCGGTTGTGCAGGCGACACACAAGCATCCGTCCATCTTTGCAGGCAATTGACGGGGTCAACCAGATCATGGCCCTTACCAGTCCTCGCAGGCATACACCCCACGTGTGGCCATGGTCTGGACCTCGCCTACCAAGGCTGGCGCTGTCACTTCTCCCCCTCGACAACGACAAGCTTCTTCCGCCGGCCAAGATGGAAAATCAATCACAACCCCTGATTCAGCCTCGACTGGAACTATCAGATCTTCGAGACCCTTACACAGTGCTGCACAGAGACTGCAGCGTCACACGCATTCGATACATGGCCAGACGAGACCTACCACCGCAATGTCTTTCACAACATCCAGTTCCGATATGATTCTTGGCCGTGACATTCAGTCAAGATCCTCTACTCCGCTCTACCCATCTGGGCCTTCTCACATCTCACAGACTCCAAATCCTTCTCTAGGTTCACTCCTACCATCGCCACCAGAAGACACAGTCTCTCGTACTTATTCCGTAGAAATGTCTCGACGTTCTTCCGTCAGTACGCAACCCAACCAACGATATTCTAACTCGCAGACCTATGATCAAGAGAGCACCCAAGAATCCTACATACCATCAGCTCAGCCTTATACACCCCTCGCTTATTCTCCGCCGTCAATGTCTTCCGCGAGTCTGCTCCCGTCTCCGCCGATGACACAAGAAGATCAATACCTCTCACACGGACCTCTCATGTCCCCCGCATTTTCAACGTCCTCTCGCCGCTACTCGGGGGCAGACAGCCGTCCTGGTGGCGTAACCAACAGGAACTCTAAACCAGAGGACCCTGAAGAATCTGCCCTATTCGATTCCGTTCTAGAGGGAATTGGGCGTATTCATGTGTCAATGAACCGAGATGACGCTGGCAGATGGCGAATCAAGCGAGCATCTGACGAGAGACCATAGCATGGTTTCCTCATTCATCCGCAGCCATATACTCGTAAAAGTATAGAAGCATTCGTTCGCATCATCATCCGTCAGATACAATATCCCAGTGCCAGGGACAGTGCCAGGGACAAGTCACAAATTTGGAGCTAAAGGCGGGATCGACATGCCCAATCAGCTGTCCATTGATCTCGGCACATGATAATCGAAATCCCGTATTTAGCACAGTGTCTGTAAAAAATGCATACAAGAGAGATCGAGATTTCAAAATCCCATTTACCTGATCTGCAGTGGCACAGACTTTAGCTCCCTCAAGTGATCGATTTATCGGGCCAAAAACTCCTGAGAAACAGGTTTTCGTCATCGCAGGTGTACCTCATGCAGCATGACATTCACAATCGAAATTTTTTCAGTGCAGTTGTTTGGACAAGTCCGTGATATTCTGATACGCAGACACCCTTACCACAAAATCTAACTGATACATTCAAAAGGTACAGAAGTTTGCCACCAGGGTCCTTTCAGATTGAGACCCTTGCACAGCCTGTCATGTGGGACGGGCCACCATGTTCCTGGACGCACGTCTATTTGCCACACCGTCAATCTTGTTCTAGAACTCAATTATTCGTCTCCCTTCGCCCCTGAGTCTCATCGAGCTGTAGCAACTCTTGTGCCGCCATCCAAAC